TCCCCCACCTTCCACCCGGTAGCCAGCAGGGCAGGGCTGTATCGTTACCCCCTAGACCGCCGGCCAAGAGGACTCCTGTGTGGAGTGGACGGTCCTCCCCTCTGTTGTTAGCGCGCAAAGACAAACGCGGGCGGGGGGGGGGTCAACTTGTCGCGGGGAATGCCCAAGTAATTTCCGGGGCATCACCATTTTGTCACTACCACTCAGGATGGAGGATGAGTAGCCTAGCGAAAGGGAAAAGGGGGGGGGGGGTCGAGAAACTCCCGATCGAAACGAGTCGGACAGACTGCTTCAAGGGGGCAGCAAATGTTTGTCTGAAGAGTTTGCGGAATTTTTTGGCGCCCTTGCGCTTGAGAGTCGAGAGGGGCGGAAAGTGGATAAAACGAGACGAGAGGGAAAGAAAGAGTGAGAGGGTAGACAGAGGGATGGAGGGCGAGAGACAGAGAAAAAGAGGGACGGGCTGCTTTCTAATTTCCGCTACAAGAGCGGGACAAACATAGTCGGCCTTGTGATACGTGCTGAGGTGGTGCTGAGCCGGGGGCCGGCGCACTCTTTCTGTGCAGAGGGCGCACCAGGGGTCTTCCAGTCTCGTCTCGCTCTTTCCTCTCCTTTTCGTTCCGCGTGTTTTTGTTTTGATAACAATGAAAACAAATCTGAATATCTTACCCAGGATGGGGTTGCCCCTGGGCGTGGCCAGCCCGCCCAGCGTGAGGACGTGCGAGTGGTCGGCCGTGAGCACGATGAGGGTCTCCGTGACGTCCACCAGCTCCATGGCAGCCAGCAGCGCCGACTCGAGCGCCAGGGTCTCGTCGAGGGCGCGGTAGGCGTTGTTGTAGTGGTGCGCGTGGTCGATGCGACCCCCTGGAGAAAAGAGAGAAAGAGAGGGCGACGCGTCACTTTATTGTCGTTGGCATACTTTGACGTAGTAAGATGCACTCTTCTTGTTACTGATTTTTTTTTTCTTTAACTTTTGTGCTCGTAGCGTTCTTGCTGCTCACACCTTTATAAGCTACTGACACAGTCTTTTCATCAGAACTACAAAATAGTCAAGCGACATTTTTTTCTTTTTTCAGTGTGACTTGCAAGGTGACTTGCGCGGTCTCTACCACCACCACTACTACACCCCGGCACGGCGGCGCCGCCAGCCCACGGAGCAGCAAGGTGAGTGTAAATCCGAGGCGCATAGCGCGATTGTGGGCTGCGCGAGAGCTGCTGGGCGCGTCGTCGCGGCGCACCGAACAGCCCCTTCTTCTTGTGCATCCCGTATGCGGCCCGCGCGCCCCGCTGGCTATTACCCCGGCCGGGCCACAACACCACGCGCCGTGCACCCCGGCCCCCTCCCCTTGCAATTAACCAGCCGCGCCATTTCCTACCGTGCCGCCCCATTAGGCCCGCCGGGCGGTGCCTCCTCTCCCCTGCAGGCTGCAGCCCCGTGCATACCACCACCACCACCCCACGATTGGTCCACGCGCGCGCGCCAACTTACTTTAGAGGCAGGCGTCGTTGCCGTGTCGTTATCGACATCGCTTTGCTTGCTGCTGCTGCTGCTTGCAGCTCGCACCGCTGCTCTTGCTCACTATCACAACTTTTCAACCTCTGGCTGGAATGCTCTCACACTTTTTGCCCTCTCAAAGAAAACAATAATTTCGCATTGCTCTAAGCATAGGGCAATATTAAATTTGGAATTTTAAAAGTAAAGCTTGAGTTATGGCTGAAAAGGAAGGCACGGTGAAAAAATTGTCTGACTTTCACTTCAATTTTTTTTTTTTTGAAGAAACTTCTTCGAAATCTGAGGAGCTTATTTCCTCAAACCAAAGGGTTTCTAAATGTTTTCCCCCTTTCCTCAAAATATCAGCCATTTGTTTTTACTATGGATGGTCTGAGTTCACGGTGCTCTGTTGTATTCGCGTTGAAAGTACTATTTATTGCATTCCTTGCTCGCTCTTCTTTACTACTCTACTCACCCTCAACGAAGAGGAAGAAGCCTCTAGGGTTGCGCTGCAGCACGGCCAAGGCGGCCCTGGTCATGTCGGCGAGCGAGGGGTCGCCGTCGGGCCCCGCGTCCCGGTCCGCCTCGAAGTCCATGTGCGAGTAGGAGAAAAGACCTGCCAAAAGAGAGAACAAAGACGACAAACCCGTTGTAATTATTGCGTTTTTATTTGGACGCCAAGGGAGGCAGGAGCAGCAGGGCAGTCAACCTAAAATATGAACGTGTTTGGTTTTTAATCGTTCCGCTGCCGGTGCCGTGTTTGCCCGCCCTTGCTGGCCACGAAAGGGGAAAAGGGAAAACGCTCGGCGAGGGAAAAAAATCTGTCGCTCGTAAAATGGTGCGAAAAGAATAAAAAAGGGTTTGTGGCGGCCACTAACGCCCGCGCCAACCCGCGCAGCGCCCCGGTCCGCCCTGCTGACCCAGAGCCCCAGTTTCCGTGGGTCACGACGTGTTTGTTGCATATCTTGTGCTGCAGCAGCAGCTGCTGGCTCAGGTGAGCCGCGCGCGCCGCACCCACAGTGACGCCAACGGAAACGGAATCACATCACAGGCTCGATCTTGCGCCGCCGCCTGCTGCACGCTCCAACCTTCCGCAAAGGCCGGGACTTGCGCGGCCGCTCCCATTTTTCCGCCCTAATTACTCGCCTGTACGGGCACAACATAAATCTGCCGTTAACTTTGCACTAAACGAGCGCGGGAAAACGCGTGGAACAACCATCCTTCCCGTCCGTCCTGATAGCGACGGGGAGCCGGGGATAGTTGTTGTAAAACTACTCCCATTGTCCGAAGTCGGCCGTAGATAACAATGTTTTTTCCGGGACAAGCGTGACGGCCGGCGGGCCTCGGAGGCAGCAACAAGTCATTAGGCTGCTGAGTTGTGTTGTTTGCGAGGTGGATCAGCACTACTCGCCCAGCCGCCGCCTCTATATCCCCCGTCCCCCCCGT